TGAATGATAATTTAATTTATATAAAATGATATATGAATTTCATTATCCAATAGAAATGAGACACATGTCCATTTAAAAAAAATGTCTTACCTCCTTACCTTTTCTCTCTCTCTCTCTCTCTGCGCGTGGGGGTTGGATTTTTGACAAGAAATACAATTTAAAGCCACTCTCTTTATTTTTACGTGTGTTCACTCTCTGCCATGGCACACCTAGCAAGGTGTGCCATGGCACACCTAAGTATTTGCGCATGTAAGGAATAGACCTAGTCTATAAAAAAGTGTTCTCCAATGCAATTAAAAGTGTAACTAGTCTAGCTTATGTGGCAATAAAAAAATGAGACCTAGTCCACACTTGGGTCTATTTTAGACCCAAGTACAAACCCAAGCACTCATCATTTATTCCTCATTTAATTTTTTTTTTTAATAAATAAAATATACTAGAGCATTTTTATTGGTTGTCATGTATTCTAGACCTAGTACTTTTTTGTTTTGCATTGGATAGATTTTGGTTTTTTTAGTTTAGGTTTGTCCATGTCATTATGGACTTAAGTCTATTTATTTGCCACATATGCAAAAAGAGACCCAAAGCATTGTGGATGCTCTTAGCTGTGTCTCATTTTAGTCCACTAATTTATACCGATCTAAATTTGGTCTAAAAATTCTCAAAAGATAATTAAATCAGTCTAATTTTGGTCCGTGCCGCCGAAATTGATTGGTCAATTTCAGGCTAATTTTAGTCCAATTGGAATGATTTAACTAACTTTTGAGAGTTTTTGGACTAAATTTGGATCAGCCTAAGTTAGTGGACTAAAATGGGAAACAACTTAAGTTATTGTACTAAAATTACAATTTTCTCTTTGTTTTTCTATGCAGATTTTTTTAAAGTAATAATAATGTGCTTATAATTTTTACTGAAAAAAGACGGCTTTTTTATTGATGGTGGTAAGAAAAGATTTATTCGAATTTGGTATTAAAGTAGGCACTAGTTTCCAGATATGTTAACAAAATTAAGAGAATTTATAAAATCTTAATGGCATTTCCATATGAAGGAAACCTTTTTTTAAAAAAAAAAAAAAAAAAAAATTATTTATTCTTTAATCCCACTCACTCTACTATTTTATTTAGAGCTGTCAATTTAGCCCGCGACTCACGGGCCAGCACGCCCCGCCCCGCAAGAGGGACGGGTTGAGCCGATATTTAAAATTAAATAATAATAACATGTTTTTATTTTTTAAATAGTTTTTTTTAAAAAATATTATTATTCATATTTAAAATGACACCGTCACTTAACACGACTTACCATCTTATATTACAATTTGTTTAATTTATATAGGTAACTAATATGTTGTTGAGTTAGTTTAAATAATTTTATTTTTTTAAAATTAATACTAATAGATAGTTTAATTTCAATTATAAAGGTAAATAAAATTGTTAGTTATTTTGTACGAGTAATACAAGTTTCAAATCGAAACTCATCAAAATATAATTAATTTAGTATATTATATATAAAAATTTGTTAATAAATGAAAAAATTTATTAACTATTTGATATAGTTATAATTCAAGTTAGTATACCTGTTATACTTTTAAAAGAAAGATTGAAAAAAATTATACTTTATAAATCACGTCTATATTAGGAAATAGTATTAAATTATAAGTAAAGCTTTTAAAAGAGACCATAAATATCTAATATCTAATATATTTATGAATATTCAAAGCCCAGATAATTTTGAATTAAAAATAAATTAAAATTCATTCAAGAAAAAAAAAAAAAAGCTTAAAAATTTGTCACATATAATCCCAAAGTGTGAATCTGTCACTTAGACTTAACACGTTCGAAAATTATATATAAGTGGGATACATTTACAAACTTTTATGTGCTAATAATGTACTTATTTAACTATAAAATATTTACACTTTTTTTTTTTTTCTTTTTTCCAATCGGTATAAAATATTTACACATTGATCTTATCGTTGACTGATAATGGACTTTTTATTCCAGCATCAAACTTATGCCACATTGATCCATGTAAATTATTCACCAACCATTTTTTTTTTTTTAATCAATTAGCCCATTAGCGTTGGGCTTAAGACCGTTCCATTTATATTACTAATTTCCACACACGCCCATTAAAACTAACGAACGCAGATCGTTGGTGACCCGACCCGCAACACCTAATAACCCCCTCCAGGAAACCCCCAAGCTCAGTGGATTCTAGCTCGAGTTTGCGGGAGAAGACCCGCCACCGGAAAAGCACGACCACCATCGCCGCCGCCTACCGCCTGCCGCTGTTAGTTTCTTTCTTGATTTGTGTTTCGTTTATTTTATCTTTTGCCATTTCGTGACTATCGTCCCTTTTTCATTGTTCATATGGTAAAAGATTTAACCAGGAAACCACCGTTCTCGTTGATTTCATCGCTCCAGCTCTGAAAAAATGGCTAACGGCGACTTCTTAAACCCTTTAATTGAGGTGTTATCGTTTTCTTTTAGAATTTCAAGTTTCAAGTTAGGGCGTGGCTTGATTAATGTGAACGTACAACTTTTATTTTTACATAAATATGTATGAGTTGGAGTTTGGTGAGCTCCAAAACCATCCGGCCGACCCGGTTCAGATCCGAATCGCATGAGTCTTCTCTTCCCCTGAAGTTGGAGGGTCAGGTTCACCGGGCATGTTAACTGTTCAGTTACACTTAATAACTTTCTTGATCTTCTCATCTTTTAATATTCCGACTCCTCGTTTTTTACAAGCTAACTCCTCGTTTTTTACAAGCTAACCCTTCATTTTCATTTTCTAATAGCTGCTGGTCATATTTCTCTAGTGCTCCATTTTCATTTTCTATTATGCATGCTCAATATGCACATTATTTTCATATTCTGAATCACTCATGGTTTTGGTTTGAAGCACTTCAATATCACTAGGGGAGAGAGAACAAGACAACAAATGAGTGGAAAGAGTCGTCATAAGCTTTCAATCGATAGGCTGAGCAACTTGCCAGACGGAGTCATATGCCACATTCTCTCCTTCCTCACCACAAAGCTCTCTGTGTCAACCTGCGTTCTTGCGAAAAGATGGAAGTTTTTGTTATCCCACGTCCCTGTTTGGGATTTTGAAGGAAAATTTGTAGGAGAAGAATTTGTCGAAGATGAAACACCAAATCAAGACGTGATTTACAGGGTGCTTCTGTGGCACAAGGCTAAAACAATGCGTACTCTTCGGCTCCGCCATATAGACTGCAATGAGTATCAACTGGAGACATGGATCTCCACTGCCATTGAGTGTAAAATACAGAATCTTTATCTCGAATCTGTCTATGAAAATATTTTTAAGTTGCCTAGATCCCTCTTCACCTGCAAAACCGTGGTTGACATGAGGCTCGCTAACTGCAAAGGCTTGCCTTCAACTGGGGACATATGTTTACCTAGCCTCAAGAAACTTCATCTTTCTGAAGTTGAGTATGAGGATGATGAAGCCATTCCGAACTTGCTTTCTGGCTGTCCTTTGCTCCAGATGTTGATGCTCAATTTCCCGGATGAAGATGCTTGTGGGAGATTCTTGAATATATCATCATCCACGATAAAAATGCTTGAGGTGAAGATTGGAATCGACGTTCGCTTCTGTACAAACACACCAGCACTTAGATGTCTCCGTTTGATTGATTGTGATTGGGATTTCACCACAATTCCAATAGATATGCCCTCCTTAGTTGAGGTGTACATCCGTTTTAGTCGTTGTGATTACTTCTACATTGACAACAATGACAGCTCCAATGTGCTAGAGGGTTTTACTCGTTTGCGCAACATCAGGTGCCTAAGGATATCAAGCTGTGGATACCTGAAGGTATGTTGTCCTTTAACTCTCATTTTATTCTCTCTGCAAGCATCCCGTCTTGTTCTTGAGCTTATTTTTTTTTCCAGGTTATTGGCGGCATTGTTGGTCCAATCATAAAGTTTAACAATTTAACCAAACTTGAACTCCGATTGGGTGTTGAATGGCATTTGCCTGTTGAATTTCTTGAAGTTGCTGATAATCTTCAAGTCCTTGTTGTAACTAGAGTTTGCCGATGCAAAGATTTTTATCGTAATGTAGAAATTCGTAATTCTTGTATGGAGCCGAAACAAGTACCTAAATGCCTACTATCGTCTCTAAGAACTGTCACAATTAAGCAACCAAAGTTTGAAGACTATGAACTTGACCTGGTGCGTTATCTTTTGAGGAATTCCCAAGTACTTGAGAAAATGGAAATATTAGCCCCGAGAGATACATCAACTTCGACTTCAAGTAGTTTTCTTGAAAACGGTTTCGTAGCAGCATTCAAAGCACTTCAGAAAATTGCATCATTTGAGCGAGGATCCAAGGCATGTCAGCTTGTATTCTTTTCAAATTGTTAGATTGTTGAGTGATTGGATTGGACAGGTTTTGGGTAGTGATCTTAGGTTATTGTTCTTCATAAAGAATTTTCCTATGGTGCTGTAGTAACTCTTTTTCATTTGTATGATAACACTCAATTTGTGTGATGATTCATGAACTTGTTACTTGTTTGTATGATTTGAAAGTGCGTCGAACCTGCATTTGTGCATGAGTCGAGCGAATGGTGGTGTATATATAGAATGCATATTGCGTGGTGGGATGGATATATTTCTGAGGAGTGGCAGGGTAGTGAATGACATTTTATAGTATAAATATATACTTTTGTTATAAAATTATGACAAGTCGACCTTGTTGGACTGCTCACATAAGAATTTTTGTTTTCGACATTCACTTCATTTGCGTGCATGTTGAAATTATTGGCATTACTTATGTTAGGTTAGTCTAACCATTATGACGGCAAACTTAATTTATAAATATGTATAATTTCATTACCCGTTTTACCTCAATGGGTTTCCTTGGTCGAAAGCAAAGCTAGAGTTAACAATCATTGCAACCCAAAGAGCAATGAACACCACCAAAAAAAGGCGACATCCTTGCATTTCCTGTTGTGCTTTATGATATTGCGGCTTTTACCATTCCCATTTTCACCATTCATATCGCTTGACGACGGATATTTACCTATCACAAGCCCCAACGGCTCTCTCATTTTTCCCCCTTAGTTTCAGCTCGTTCTGTATGAGCCTACGAGGGTTTTAAGAGAGATAAAGCGACAAGCAGAGAATGAGGCCTGTGTAAAGAGAGAGAAAGTCGAAGGAGAGAAGAAAAAGAAGGATCTTGGCTGTGAGGAGACTTGTGGGAAAAAGAGAGTAGCAAAAGGGAGTGTGAAGGGAACAAGAGTCTATTCTTTTTATTTGTTTTTCTATGCAGAAATTTTAAAGTCATATTGCACTTATAATTTTTACTGAAAAAAGACAGCTTTTTTATTGATGGTGGTAAGAAAGATTTATTCGAATTTGGTATTAAAGTAGGCACTAGTTTCCAGATATGTTAACAAAATTAAGAGAATTTATAAAATCTCAATGGCATGATATATGAAGGATTTTTTTTTTTTTTTTTTTTTTT